TGACTGTTTTCCCTCAGCAGAACATTATGAGCAGTTGCCCTCATCAACCTTTGCACCCATCACTGACTGTTAATGTGCTCACTGACTATATTTCGAGCCCGTCTAAAGGGAGACGGTTATTTAAGTTTTGGGCAAAGAGCTGCTCCATCAAACGGCCCTTTCCCTTCACGCTGGGGCTGCATTTGGGGCCACCGGTGATGGATAGGTACACAGTGGAAAGGTGAGGAACGCGCAGGCCTGATTGATGGAGAAGTGAAAGGATGGAAAGAACGACGGGTTCGCGACCCCGTGGAGAATACATGATTTAATCTCCCCCTAAATTTATTTACAGGGAGTCAAAGTGAAAAGAAGGAGGCCACACGCAGAGGGAATTAAAATGAAAATGTATTTATGCTCAGCATCGCGCAACAACTTTGCTGAGGTAAAAGGCTACAGTTCTTTTTATGCACTCCATTAAAACGCTGGCATCATTAAACCAGACAACAGCAGACCAGAAAAATGCAATCCAACATCTCTCTCAAACAAACACTTACCAATTACAAAAGGGTTGAGCCACATTTTAACACTGTGCTACTCTCATAAAAACTGCTTCTATTTGTTTCTTAAAAGAAATGACATTATGTGGAGGTTCTTCAAACTTTTCAAAGGTTCTTCACACTTGAACATCTCATTTAATAATAAAAATATCTTTTATTTATAGAGCACTTTTCATACTGGTGGCAGCCCAAAGTGCTTTACAGACAGGTGGCAATGTTTAACAGTTATAGAAGAAAATATGAGTATTCATTCAAAATCAAATTAAAAAGATAAATACCAAGAGATGTACGGTTTTGATTAAATGCTAAGTTAGAGGGATACGTTCTCAGATGTTTCTTAAATGTGCGAACTGAGCTTAACTGTCTAATAAAAGGTGAATTGAGTTCCAGAGTTTAGAAGCAGAATAACTGAAAGAGTCTCTCCACATTTTCTGTATTTTACGGAAGGTGTTTGCAGAAGGTCAGTGTCTACAGATCTAAGATCACGTGCTGGAATATAAACAGAGCGACTTCCTGTGATGTAAGCGGTGCTTTAGGGTCATTTAGAGCCTTAAAAACTAGTAGCAGAACTTTAAAATCTATCCTGAATGATACAGGCAGCCAGAGCAGCTCTTTTAAAACAGGAGTGATATGATCTCTCTGTTTGGTTGTTGTTTGAATCTGTGCTGCTGCACTTTGTACAAGTTGTAGAGGATGCATTGTCCTCTACACCCTGTACTTCCTTTGAAAGCCCAATAAGAAGATCATTGCAGTAATCAATTCTGCTTGTAACAAATGCATGAACAAGTTACAAAAGTGGTAGCCATTTTAATTGATATTCTCAAGTGTTCTTTCACTTTCATAGTCCATGTCCATATTTACATTATTTTTGGTTTCCCCTCTTTGTTCAACAGTATATCTTATCTGCAATATGTGCCCCACTTACCATTTACCATTCTTTGCAGTTTAACCTACAGCAGACCCATAACATTAAGTATGCTTATGCTCCACAAAGACAAGAGAACATGTAGGTCAGGGGTTGGCAATCCAAATGTTAAGAGCCATTTTGTCCTTTCAACAAAAATCAATCCGCCTTGGGAGCCACAACATTTGTATGTCCATTTTATTTAAGTACAGTTTCACCATTTTGGCTGTAAATATGTCTCAGTATGTGCTAATGTCCTAGTGCAGACTAAAAAATATAATATAAACGAAAATGCAAACTTACTTTGCTCTGCTTTAAGCTTTAGCTCAGCTATAGCTGCTTTTCTCGCATCTTTCTCGCAAACTTTTCCACAAAAGTAGAACAGTTTCTTGTCAAACAGGATAGAGCTGGAGAATCCGAATGAGAAGCAACTTCAGCTTTGTGACTTTTTATTGTTTGACAGTTTCTCATTGCAGATTAAACATATCAGGAAACCAGCTGAGTGCTTATAAATGCAAATAAGTCCATTTGTCTCCAAATTATCGACATTCGTTATACGTTTTTCTCAATGCCTTTTTTTGTTAGCTACTTGCTAGGCGATGTTGTTGTCTGCATTACTATGGTGACCAGCAGTCTGCGTGTCGAACTTCAGAAATAAAGGGTGAATTAGCAGTTCTACATTAACTCCAGCGTTTAAGACCATTTATTGCTAAAACTGTGTTGAACGATCAGCAGAGCTTTATTTTACTATAAAGGAGGAAATTATTTTTTTCACCTAAAGTCTAACTCTGCTGTGGAGCCACAACAGGGCCGCACAAGAGCCGCATGTGGTTTCCGAGTCGTATGTTGCTGATTTCTGATGTAGGTATTGGTGAATTGCTATGTGCAGCAAATACTTTACACAGTTTACCCTGGAATCATTTTCAGGCCAGGTGGTAGAAAAGGGTTCTATATGGCACCAAAAAGGGTTCTTTTATTGTTACAAGCTTGACATCAAAACAATAGTAGAGCCCTGTTTGGTGCCATATAGAACCCTTTTTAAATAGATTTTATATAGAACCATATAAAACACACTCTCCATCAATCTGAAGAACCATTTCACTATGCAAAGAACCCTTTATGCATGCAGATGGTTCTTTGAGTGTCCATGGTTCTACTTAGAAGCATTGTCTTTACTAAAGAACCATTGAAGATCCATCTTTTTTAAGAGCGCACCGTAAAATAAAGTGCTACCTCCCTTTTTGGCACCTTTATTTCTAAGAGTGTAGTCTAGTGATTTGCATCCTCTGACAAAAAAAAGTGCACTCGAGACAGCCGCGAAGTGCTGCCAGGGAGCCGAAAACAGGAGTAAGTTGAAATCAATGGCGGCATCTATATGCAGATACACTCCTGTCTGTGTACCCTCAGTTAATGGTGCTCAGCTGAGGGTGGAAAGATTTAGCCTTATTCAGAGGAAAAAGAGCCGGGGAGGTTGAAAGGACAATGGTATAATCTCTTTTCATCAAGGATTATACACCTCTTTAATGAACCCAAATGCTTCGCTGATGATCGGAATGCAACACGGCATGCGACGCAACGATTGGGCTTGTTTTGATTGCGTACTCTCCTGGTGCTAGAGATAAGCTGAATTATGATTGAGGGCGGGGGGTGGGGGGTTGTCTGTGGATAGCATGAAAGAAACACGCACACACAAATGCGAAAGGAGAGCGAGCGCAGTTTTCAGGGTGTAGGACATACTTCGGAGTCTGGAAAAGTGAGGTTTTATGCACCATCTGTATGTGTGACCTTTAAATAAGGGTACCTTTACGCTTTAGGCCTGTTCTTACTGTGGCTCAATGTGATGGGCCATAAATTATTATTAAGTATAAGAATAAGAAAATGTTGAGAAACAAGAATCAAGCCAATCTAAACAGTGTTCAAATACTGTTTTTTATCATTAAAATCTCTTTTGTTTTAAAGCAGAACATCCCCAAGATGATCAAATCATTTTATTGTATTCAAGGTCAGAAAATAATCTGTTTCATTGCAAAAAATTGTACAGGGCAAGATGTTACAGGAAGCACTGTAGGTTTGTAGTAGATTTAATGCACTAGAATGCATTATGAATGCACACAATGTATTATACATAAAGATTTAAGACATTGTTCCCGTATGTACTGTAAGCTGCTAAATGATAGATGACCTCATTAAAAGGAAAATGGGTTTGGGGCTGGACCTGCAGTTTTGGCCTTCATCATGATTAACCGTACAGTGATCACTGACTGGGGACGCTCTGTGGCAGCCCTTCTTGAAAGATTTTAGATTTTATTCGGCCTGAAAATACTTTAGTATTTTATCATCAATTTTTATCAATAACTTCATTTGAAAGGCCAAATCCATGTGAATCAAGATCACATAAAGAATGTATAAGGAATAAAGGTTGGAGATTGATTAAGGTCTTGTTCTTTGACCAGTAAAGCGTTATTATCATTATGCACTAAGCTTTATGCATTATGACCTGTATTAGTACATAACTGGTGTGGAAATCACTAGTAATCCCTATATTAGTTGTAATAATGCTCAGTAAATACTTATTATTATTATTATTATTATTATGATCTTAATTATGCAAATTATTGAGCATGGATTATCATCTAAATTCACAAACGTAAAATGGGCAGCATTTTATCCCTGTAAGTTCTAGGTACTGTCAAGTGACTTCTGGACTTTGTTTTAGCACTAATATCAGTTCAATAAGTCACTTTAAGAAGTGTTAGTCATCAGTAATTACTTTTTAAAAACTTTTTTAGCTTTCAGTAACTCAGTTTTTATTACAAATGGCACATTTAATCACAAATTTAATACCTATTTATTACTAAAATATATGTAAAAGATTGAATACTTCGCTAATATGTCAGTATTGTGTCCTAAACAAGAATTAAATGGCTAAAAGTGGATGGAATACATGTGGAATACATTTCACATCAGTTTTAGTGATGTATTAAACTCTTTTTAGGTCTTAAGTAATAAACTGCAATAAAGCAATGAACTTGACACTATCTAGAACCTCTAGGAATCAAATCCTGCCAATTATGTACTAATAAGATGTGAATTTGGATCACAATTCACGGTAATTTGCATGGCAGAAATTATTTGGAAGAAACTTACATGAACTTCTATCACGTTTTTTCCTTCTCTGGTAAAATTACTTTTTTTTTGGAGATATAAGGTTTTGTTCTGACAGTGATGATGCATGGATACATATCGCTGATGTCGGAACAAAACCTCATATCTCCATTTTTGTTGTTTTTTTGTTTTTGACATAATTTAAAAATGTCTGTAGCCCTTTACATTCTGTGTAAATTTCATGATAAATGGACCAAAACGAATGACCCTTGGTAAAAAGTCTGGTTCCATTGACTTACATTGCAAGTAAAGTATGTTTTTCCCTTCTCCTGTAAAGTGACCATTTTGGAGATATGAGGTTTTGTTCCGACAGCAGCGATATATAATATGCCTGTATGTCATATTTTCGTGTGGGCAGAGATGCTGATTGATTTGTTCTCCGGCTTCGTCCTCAGGTCAGCCTTGTGGTGGTGTGGTGCAAGGCCTGAACGGAACCATAGAAAGCCCTGGCTTCCCCCATGGTTACCCCAACTATGCCAACTGCACGTGGATCATAGTGACGGGAGAGCGCAACAGGATACAGCTGTCCTTCCACACCTTCGCGCTGGAGGAGGACTTTGACATCGTGTCCATTTATGATGGACAGCCACAGCCGGGCAACCTGAAGATGAGGTAGGAGATCCGTCTCAATCCAGCTGTCCTGGTTTGAAGCTCAGGTTCGGTTATGCGCAGCGTTTGACAGGATACCACTGTTGTCGTAAAAGAGGACATGAGTGATAACCCTGCCCTTCGTAGAAGTCAAACCTTTGTGTTGCGGTGAATACCCTCGGCCTTTGCACATGAATGCCCTCGGCTCGTACGAGCTCGCGCAGGCCAAGGGGAAGTACATTATCATCTATTCTGAATGTGCTTGAAGATCTCACTGGGCCTTTATTTAAATATAAATGGTGCCACTTTATACAAAGAGGACCCAAAAAAGCCTTCTCACCACGTATTGCTACCAAAAATATAAAAAGACATTCCAATTAAAGTTGTGGTGCAAGACGCAGGGCCCATAGTTGCCAAGGCTCCACGGACGACTTTTAAAGAATGCCAGTAGGTGGGTATTGTGGGCCTCATTTTAGAGAAGCTTAAAGTGTTTAATGGAAAGCTGTGATCAATAGGCGCGAAAGCAAAGTGCTCGGGCTCCTGGTGAAAATGGAGCGCCTATAATTAGACGCAGAATGCTTTTACGGGTCGGACGATTAACCCAAAGATTTGCGTAAAGGCAGTTACGAGTCATTTTGAGCTGCACGCGTTCTTTGGGTGTTGGGGGGAGTATAGAACTGAATGTTTACTGATCCAAAAAGGTGTTTTAAGTGAGCGGGTAACTGGTGGTCAAAAAGCGCTTTTGTGCGAGCTGATTCTGCAGAGCAAATCCATCTAAAGTAGCACTTAGGCCTCCGGTGATGTAGATGTGACGCACGTTTGCTCCTTTGCAGTATGAAGCTTGAAATGTATGGAAGTGGCCCACAGGCTTCAAATGCATTTGTCCCTGTACAATAACTGCTATTAGTGTTAGGTCTCTGATGTGGTTCAGGTTTTCTCTCTCTTCTCTCCCTCTTTCTCTCTTTTTCTTTCCGCCTGACTTGTGTGCTTCATTTCCACCGCACGTTTACAACCATTACTAAGTCTTGTGCGCCAACATGCAAATATCAATCGTAGAGAACAAACACGCGTGTTCTGTAGCCAAATTATAGAGGGTGGCTGACAGCCCGATATTTATCTCTTCTACAATTTTCGTTAAAAGACAACTTAGTCAGAATTACAGTGTAGAAAGCAACACTAATATAAACATGAATATCAAAACAGACAGCAACAGGCTTTTTTTCTTCAATGAGAGTTATCATTTAGGCTGTATCTGTACGGTTAAAGCTTGAAACAGCACAAAGTGGCCGGGGAGTCCATTTCTACAGGTTCAGCAGTAGCTAGAGACACGGCGTAAGTGATTTCACAGATGCTTAATGTACTCTGATCTGAAAGGCAACACATTGGACGGGTAGTTCCGAAGAAATAATACGTATGGTTTGGCAGAGGCTACTTCAGTCCAGTAAATCAAGGCAGTCAAATAAAGAGGCACTCTAGTGCTTACAAAACAGTACTTTTCTTCATAGTGTCCACTGTGTATCAGTGTAGTTATTTGATTTACTGTTTCTTCTGTTTGTACTGTTATTTTGATTCTTTCAACAGCCAAAAAGTACTGAATAAAAGCCCTTAAGTCTTCATATGCATCATAATAAATGCTTCTGTAATCAGATAATGCCCTCTTAAAGGTGCGCTATACATTCTGGAGAACAATTGTTGATATTTGAGCTCAACAGCAAAACAAACACACCCCTCCGTTTAGTGCTCCATCAGAAGCGCCCCCTCACAAATTCATGGACATGCATTGCCGAGGCGAACAGCGATTGTTTTGATCTTTCTGCCCATAAAACCCTTCACAAATGTTGTACAGACAAATACCATGATGTAACATTGGAGCAAACAACCACACAGCAAGTGATGTGACTAACGTTAGCAAACTGTCACTACAGTTACTGCTGTGAAGCTAGTCAGTTGCTGTCACAAACGTTAACAAAGTGGACAAAACAATACTGACCTACTGGTGCTGTGAAACAGCAAAAATAAGTTAATGTTGCCAACATGTCAAGCAGAAACAGAGCAATCTCCTCATCCCTTTTCATGCATTTCAATTCAATTCAGAACCATCAGCCAACTGTGTTTGCACACTGTGGAGTTAGACCTCTGCATTTAACCCATGAAACTGGCCACATACATGCACACTAGAGAACACACTTGCCCGGAGCAGTGGGCAGCCCTATCCACGGCACCCGGGGAGCAATTAGGGGTTAAGTGCCTTGCTCAAGGGCACTTCAGTCATGTACTGTCAGCCAAGGGGATCGAACCGGCAACCTTCCGGTCACAGGGCTGGTTCCCCAACCTCCGGCCCACGACTGCCCCTATTCAACTCTCAATGAACCTTAAGTCAGCTTCCTTTTCACCAGCTTCTTGTCTCATTACGCCTTAAAACGTGCAGCAGTTAAGACTACATTCAGGCGCCTCAGTTTCTTGTGCAAATTTTCCCGTTCCACCTTAAATGGTGCAGGCGCCTCAGCTTCCTGTGCGAATCTCCCACTCCACCTTAAGTGGTCCACGCACAATGCTGTGTGGGCAGCCACTGTCTGAGGAAGGCAAAACAAAACATGGCGAGGGCTAACATTTTCACACAGCGGCACTAACATGCATGCGCGACCAGAACCGGCTATGAAAACAAAAAAGAAAGAAGCTCAGATTACCCCAAAAACAGAGGTGGTGTGACTTCATTTGCTTCTCATCACTCCATCACTCCCCTATATCTTTACATAGAAAATAGTTGTTTGCTGCTATATTAACATACTGTATATACGACCTTTAAAGTCACGTCGAATGGTTGAGTAGATGTTCACTCTCACCTTTGTGAACTTTTGGTTGGTGTGACATAGTTCAAAATGTTCTCCTAGCAGATTTCTAAAACTAAGAGCATCACACATTAAACATCAAACGTGCAAACTAGACAATCTCACCGTTATCCCAAGTCTTATCAGGTGATAGAAACAAAGCTAAACTAAGCCTTTTGCACACAAAAGAAGACTAGCAAAAGGACAAATCAACAGATATCATTCTATTCTGTGGCGAGAGCTGGAGAAATGTTTGACGACGTCTCTCTGAAAATACCAGAAGGCCTCAGATCACTCTGAAAATGACTCATTTCCCCTCTCACGTGACCAGATCACCACTTCTGACCAAGCTTAGATTACAGCAAACTTGTGACCATTTTAGTGATTGTTAGGGTCTTGTGACTGAGTCTAAAATACATTGTCTGTTGAGCTGTTGTTCTGGGTTTGTTAGGAGATGGGGGTGGGACAGAGTGGTTGCCCCAGACTTAAGCAGACATGCACTGAACCCCTTTTCACCCCATTGACTTGAGAAGTCATGCACCATCTTGGTTTACCTTTATCTTTGATTCAACAGCTGGACTAACATAGTATAAGGCTATGCAGATAATGCTAAATTAACCTAGCTGGCTATATATGCTACTAATACAATACCAAATGACAGAGTACACACAATACTAATACAATACCAAAGAAATGAAGTTTTTGAATCTGATATTGTCATTTGGTTTAAGGATGATGTGATGTTTGGAGCTTGCAAATAGAAATACAAGGCTAATGTTAATCTGTTTTGGCTAATACCAACATTTTGACCTGCTGTAGGTATTTTGGAAGTTTTTGAAGTATTTTGGAAGATGAGACAGGCCAGGAAAAAGTGTAGACTTGTTATTTGTCTTCAGACTGAAATAAGAGCTCAGTTTGCTGAGTGTTATTGTGTATTTGTGGCCCTGAAAGTTTCGTCTCACAGCTTTAGTGGGTGCTGAAATTCTAAGTTTAGCTTTTTTCAGGCTGAGGCACAGTTCTCACATTAGTCACTTGCTGATGTATAAAGTAGACCTAGCTTTCTCTTGTCAGGAGTTGTTGTACATGATTGACATTTTCATGTATTTTATTATTTTTTGCTCCGTTTGAAAACATAACCAGCGCTTCACGTTTCACAAACATTTCATGACAAATGAACCAGTAGAAATGGAGATTTTTTTTAAATAAACATACATTCAGGCCAAAATGTTCATTTCCTTCTCCTATAAAGTTTTCTGTTTGAGGGGTTACAGCACTGAATTGTTGAATGTAGACGTGGTAAATCCTGATGATTTTTAACAACATCTAAAGTTCTGGGTCAGCACCTGGATTGGGGGAAAAGTTGATAGCCTTGGCAAATCTGCTTCTACCAAAGGTGCACTGTCTTTGCAACACGTTTCCAGACATCATCAATCTTGGATTAGAGTGTAGCATAGGCATGCAGGTGGATATGGATGCAGAGGTGTTTGAATAAAACAAGATGCTTGACAAAGTTTGGAACCTAAGTTTCTTCAAGAAGTTACCTGGCAGTGTCTAATAACTGCACAGATCACTTTGGATGCTTTCACATATAGCTTTTTGGTGCAGACCAATCAAACCTTTTCTTTGTAAACAACTGACCTGCAGACCACCAAAACCTAAAGTAAAGATAAGCTAAACTCAAACCGATGCAATCAATCCACCTTTATGCAAATTAGAGATTAAGTCAAGTTTTTTTTCTTTATTCAATTGTGAGGCATCTAGATATTCTGCATCTCTTTTATGGCGAGGCACTGAACAGGGTGAACAGGGTATTTTTTTAAAAACAATAGATATCACAAACCATCTTTGTCAGTTGATTAGTGATATTCATACAAATTATTTTTGGATTAGAAAATCTCCCTGATAAATTACATTTAGATATGCAAATGAGATCTGTCTAATCAAGCATGCATATTAAAAAAACAGCCTTATTGTTGTTTGTTGTTATAATATAAACATTTACTTAATTTGCAAAGCACAGTCTAGAGAGTTTCAGTGGTTTATTCTTTAATAAAGAAAAAAAAACATGGATTTTTTTTGATAATGTTCTTTAGGCTATTTTGTTGTACAAGATCTAGCATAAATTGGTTAAGATGTGCTTCTGTAATATCCTACAGAATATGGTTAGGAATTAACATAGAAAACAAAAAAAGATTT